TAGGAGGTTTGGATAGAAGCTTGGGGAAGGTGAATTCTTTAAGCCTAACATTCCACCCTTTTTATTATATACAATAAGAAAAGGAAGGGCAAGGTATGAAAAAGGGAAAAAATTAAAAATTAGAAAGATTGGGAAGCAGGCATTGTTGTCTTTCCCAGCAAGTTGCTTGCTAGTTTGGGACAGAAACTAGCAGCAAAGAGTAGGGAGAGCTCAAGATTGGCCTTTAAGCTGTTATTAGAAAATTAGGAGATTCAAGGCCGCCCTAACATTTCCCCTTTCTGTTGTTAAAATTAAATTTCTATTTAAAATGAACTCAGAAGTTGGGAAAAGTTGGCAGAGATCTTTCTTCTATAGCTACTTTCTGCTAAGAAGGGACATAGAGATCTTTTATGGAGGTCATTTAAATTATTAAAAAGGAGGGGGTTGCAAATGGACAGTCTTGAAGTTAGAATAGAGGCAGGATGGGGTTTCACGGGAGAGACACAAGAAGTATACAGTAGGCAAAGCATGATAGGAGCCATGTATACCACAGCATATTATTGGAGCCTGGTATCGATGATGGGCTGGACTTTCAGGGACCTCGCCATGGGGGAAGCAGGTTCTGGAGCATCTATATACACACTTAAAAAAAGTATTGCATATAACTCCTGTGGAATAGTTTGGAGAAATGGTGTATTCAGTGATAAAATCACTTAGAAATAAAACTAGCCTTTCTCATAAAAAGCTGGGTTAAGTATAGTGTTTTGGCTATCTTAAACAAAAAACAGATATTTATATTCAAGCTGTAGAATTTTTAAGAATCTTTATTATAAATAAAGGAATTACATTACCCCTTTCATGTCTTTTTATTATATACCTAGAGAAATCTGGCCTTTTGCATCCTAGCTTCTGTCCTTTTTCTTCATCCTAAATGAAACAATGCATGATGCTTCTGCTCTTCAGGCCTAAATTGATGTCTTTCTCTTTAAGGGCTTTTTGCCACTGTATGTCAATCAGTTGAGGATTGGCCTCGGAAAGAAACCTCATACCCCCTAGCAGTCACTCCCCATTTCCCCTAGCTCCTGGCAGCCACTTACCTACTGTCTGTCTCTATGGATTGCCTATCCTGGACATTTCAAATAAATGGCATCATATAATTATGTAGTCTTTTATGACTGGCTTCTTTCACTTAGGATATTTTTAAGTTCCTTCTATGTTGTAGTATGTATCAGTACTTCATTTGCATGATGAATATTTGTATGGATATACCACATTAATCCATTCATCAGTTGATGGGCATCTGGATTGCTTCACTTTTTGGCTTCTATGAATGATGCTGCTATAAACATTTGTGTACAAGTTTTTGAGTGGATATGTCTTCATTTCTCTTGGGCATAGACATAGGAGTGGAATTGTTGGGTCGTATGGGAGCTGTTTAACCTGGCAGAGTATTATCTAAAGCAGTTGCACCATTTTGCACTCCCTCCAGCAATGAGTGTTCCAAATTCTCTCCATCCTCATCAACACTTATCTTTTTGATTATAGGTATCCTAGTGTCAAGTGGCATCTCATTGTGGTTTTGATTTGCATTTCTCTGATGGTTAATGAGTATCTGAGTATCTTTTCATGTGCTCATTGACTATCTACGTATCTTTGGAGAAATATCTGTTCAAATCCTTTGCCCATTTTAAAATGAGTTGTTGACCCACCCCTTCTTTTAAAAAAAAAAAATCACTATCCATTGCTTCTTCAGGGCCATCTGGGAGGCAAGCTTTGCTCAGTCTGTGCTTAATACATCCCTTTTAGCTGAATGGCACTCAACCCAGTCTAAAAAATGAACCATTGTAACCCAAGTCTGGCGAGTTCCTGAGCCAGCTCCCCTGCAAAAGGCAGGGCTGGGCCCCTCAACACTGAGTACTTACATGCCCAGTAAGATTGAAGGCACACATACCATTAGAATAGTGTAGAAATCACTGACAAAGTCAGGAAGGAACCTGTCCTTTAATACACGAATGACCTAGCAGGCATCCACTGGTACAGCTACCTTAATTATTCCCTGCATGAGATCAGATAATTGCTTTTGCTATTCATTTCTCACAATCTTTGATATTATTAACAGAATTCAACTACTTAACTATTTTATATGGTTTGTGGAAATAATTAGAAAGGGTATCTGTCCAAAAGTAACACAGAAACAGCAGCCACCAAGTAACCTTCCAGTAGTGGCACATGAATACAATGTCACAACATATGTACTAGTAGAAATATATCAAGAAAATGCTTGAGCTTAAATAACTCTCAAGAGTGAATTTTATTTTTTTGAGAGAGTCTTGCTCTGTGGCCCTGAGTGCAGTGGCATCATCTTAGCTCACTGCAACCTCAAACTCCTGGGCTCAAGTGATCCTCTTGCCTCAGCCTCCAGAGTAGCTGGGACTACAGGTGCACGACACCTGGCTAATTTTTCTATTTTTAGTAGAGATGGGGTCTCACTCTTGCTCAGACTCCTGAGCTCAAGCAATCCTGCCTCGGCCTCCCAGAGAGCTAGGATTATAGGCCTGAGCCACCATGCCCGGCCTCAAGAGTAAATTTTAGAGCCAAGTCCAATTTTATATTAATTTAGTCTTTAAAGCTTAATAATTAGATGATCTTAATGAGATTAAGCATGTCATGCCATGCCAGTATTTCATTCCTAACATTTTCCTAAAAATAACCAAGCTGATTATATAAATAAATGTTGGCTAGGAAGAGTGAGTTCCTGGTGGCCAGTACTATCCCAACACTAATTCTGCTGGTCCTTAAGAAAAGTAAACTGCTGGTAGATTATTTCTAATCACATTCTCAGTAGGTAATCAGACTCAAGAGCTGGTTCGCTAACTTTCCCTATATCAGATCTTCAGATAACGTACTTGCAGATACACCAACCATTTGCTCTTAGTTTTCATGTTAATTCTACCAGAGTTGGTTAACCACTATTTATATTATTGAAACATCCAGCAGGCCACCAGAAAGTGTAAGCACTTCTTTTCAATAAGAAGTCAGAAGTGACATTCAAAACTCCATGACAAGGAACCAGAAATTCCACACTGAAGAAAGTTTATTCCCAGCGACTTGAAAATAATTATGTATAATTTTGTACCTATACTGAAGTAAACTGGAAGTCTCCAACGAAACACTCATACTCTGCAAGATTAGGATAATATCTCACTTAAATTTTATCATCAAAAGACTACGTAAGGTAAAGGGAGAAAATCCATGGAAATTATAATCTTTAACAAAGTATCAAAGATATCACATCATAGAAAAGCAGCTGGTAAAGCTAGACAAAAGACAATGGGGAATATTATGGACAAAAAAAAAAAAGCTTATTGGAAAGGGGGATAGAGAATAGATAATGGTACTATCCTCAACACTGATGCTGCCAGCAAGTCCTTAAGGGAATCACAATCCTTCTTCAGTTTCTCTGTTAACATTATTCAACAACTATTTGACAGAATATTTTTTATTGTAGGGGCATAATCAACTGTTCTGTATAATAGGGACAATCACAGAGACCTCTCATTGATTGACCAACACTAAGTTTAACATTTGAGTAAACAGCATCCAATCTTGAGCATCAAATATTTCATAAGAGCACTTCAATAAAGTGATAGTGCTTTTTGCAAGTTTGCATAAAACGGGGAAAAACATTTTAGGAGTTATCTCTCAATACTTTCTTGGAAAGCATTTAATCACTTCCATTTGAAAAAAAATGGAACTTTCTCAACTTGATTTAAAAAAAAACTAATACTACAAGGACTGAAGAAAAAGTAATTTCTAGGGGGTAAAAAAACATCTAAGTTGCCAAGTTAATGCTTTCTTTGAAAAAAAAATTGGCAATTTTGCAAATCTTTTTTAACCCATTTAGTGAAAATTAGGCAATTTTAGTTTCTTAATGCAGTTATTTGGTAGTAATAACTGCCTTCTATCACAAAGATTATATGGACTCCCTCTTTAGAGAAAGCACTTCTGACTTAATTAGTGTTAAAAAAACACCTTGGTGACTTAACTATAATTGTTAACATAGAATTTTTTTAAGTTTTGTATTTCCTAGTTGATACCCTATAAAACTATACATACTATATACCATATTTTAGCTTTATCCAAGAAATAAGACCTCTTATTTGGAAGGAAGAAGGGAGAATTCATCAAGTAGGCTAGGAAAGATGCACTTACATCAAGTGATACAAACTAAACACATTCTTTATCCCCGTAAACTGTTTTTAATAATCAACTGATTAATTCTAATTTCTTTTTTGCTTGATCCAGTGGATTTTTTAACAATTAAAAAATAAGCATGCATTTGGTTTTAGAAATAAATCTTCAATCCATAAAATTAACTGAATCTATACAAGCCCTTAAGAATCATAAAAAAGCAAGGTTTATAAAATACATAAAACATTAGAATATAGACAAAAACTAAGTTATTCAAAATTATTGAGTCTATAACTTAATAGATGTAGTTAATGAGGTATACCTTTATTGCCTTACTGATAAATAGTTATGTGCAGCTTTCTATTGAAATTGTAAAATTTGTGATGTCAAAAAAAAGTGCTTGTGAACTTAGTTCTTTTTAAGAGAGTGAGATCACTAACAGTCCTTGTAAGCTGCCATGCAAACTACACTTGAATTTTTTTTTTAACTAATGTTAGCTGTAAAACACACACATGCATACATGCTCTGTGGGCAGTTCATTTTATTACAGCCTTTTAACTCTTGATCTGACCTTAGAAATTTACAGCATCAAAATAGTATTTTATAGAAAAAAAGTAGTATTTTATCAAAGAAAACTAAGTTTTTGATGTTGCTCTCCACTGTCATACACATGATAACAACCCATATTTTATTCCCAATTTAAACAATTAGTAAACCCATTGGGATCTGTATTATTGTTCACAGTATGTCAAATATGCAAATCAACTCTGCTACATAAGAAAATCCATTTCAAATACCTTCAAGACTCAAAAAGAAGACACACAATTATGTTTTATCATTTTATTAGGAATAATTCCAAATGGGTTATGAAGAAAATGTATTCACTGAATTTGATGAGTTTTCCAAAAACTCTTAATGAAGATATGTTCACCAATAAACAATAAAACATCATCAGAATTATCATATACTGGGCAAAGAGTCAGGGTGATACCAAAAGCAACATGCAACATAAAAAAGATACAATATAAAGGAAGACAATCTGCTGAGTATTAAAAATCATCTCAATATGAACTCTTTGCAACCAGCACAGAACTAATTAGCTATCAAATCCAAACTACAAAGGTAAGTTTGGCTGATGGAGGCCAGGAGTCAATATGGGAAAAAAAGTAAGTTTCTCAGTGCAAGAGAGCTGAATAGTGTTTTGGAGCATTTCCCTGGCTGGTACAAGCAGTATTAGAAAATCTTTTTGGCAAGGGAGAGAAATAAATACAAATGGAATGCTACATTTTTAAATCAGCAGACTGTCCCAGGAATGATAAAGGTATCAGTAAAGTAGCAAGGGGATATCTTTAAAACATTATTTGTTGTGGGCTCAAAAAACATTCAAAACGGATTTCTTTAGAGCTTTCACAATGGCTATGTCCAGGCGTTTAGGCTAAAGGGAGGTAAAATTAAAAGAGGACACTTTTTTCCCAAGGAGAATTTCTTTAAAACCAAGCATATTGCTAAATAGCAACATTATACTTGGTAAACAATAATTGGCAACAAAATAAGTTTAAACGCTGTAATATTCTGCCCAAACCAGTCCCAGATATTGTTTAATAACCAAGATGCAAACTAATTTTGTTGTAACAAGCCTAGACCGATTCTATTAAACATGTCCTTGGTTAGATATCCAGTTTCATTTAACGTTTTGAAAGCTCATTTGACAGCCAGTCAAGTCCCTCATACAGACCAGTTCCTTGTGTAGCACAAGTGGCTTGAACATACCACTGTAAAGAAAGGACAAGAAAATACTTGATTAACATAAGACAATATATACAACCACAGTGTTTAAGCTTTCTTAATCAAAAAATTAAATATTTCTCCCAAATGTCCAATCGTATTACAAGTCAGCAATTATAAACATGTAAGAAAAAAGAAAAGAAAAATTTAATATATAAAATGATAGGAATAAATGTAAACATGGTAAAACATTACATCTCACAAAATGATCGATTGTATATTTAATGATCTCAGTAACTATAAAGATTACTCAAAATTATCTACCCCTTTTCCTGAAACTGTGCTTGGGGAAAGAAAAAATTACCCTTTACATTAGGAGTCTTCTCACACTTCTTGCTTCTCACAAAACTCCCCCCATATTTAAAGCTACCTACCTACCTATTCATTAGATTTAGTCAACTTTCCACCACTTAATCGGAAGAAAAGATTCATGAAGAAATTATGAGTAAACTACCCACTTGGTTTTTATAACCCTTTTGTTTCCCATTAAACTAACTTCAAAGTAGAAGAGGCCTGTTTTTGAAAGAGTAGGATTTGTTGATTAAACTTTTCGGATAATTTCACTATCTTTAGTCTCACACATTCCAAAAAGTTCCAGCTTTTTAAAAAATTGGTAATGAATCTTATCTCCAGTAACTGTCTGAAATGCAATGAAAAGTTACAACTATCAAGAAAACCTAGAAAGCAATTTACCTTTAAGAGATACTTTATTTTTATTAATCATCTTTTTGACCAGTTTTATTTTGCCTTCAAAAAACAACCCTGCTTTAATGTTGCAAGGCCACTGCAGGAATACCACGTTGCCTTGCCACTTATTATTTGACTACCCAACCTACGTAAGTAACATAGGAGGGCTGGGGAAAGGCATGAATTCATACCTTCACAGCATGGAAAACTTGGATCCTTTACATTTTACCTTGTTTAAATCAGCCTGGGAAATCTTGAACAGGCAACAGTTTTTGTTTTTCCACAGTACAATACTTGCCTTGTTTACAAGTTAATGCAAAATTACTATAAAGCACATGACACCAATAGTTTGTGATATTCATCTTCATATATAAAACAGTATATCACATTTTGCCAATATCTCCATCACTGATCTAAAATAAGCTATTTGAGAGCAAGTAGAAAATTTCTTATAATCTTACATTCAAAATACATTCAAAATACCTTCAAAACTTAAATACTGGATCCTTAATAAGAAAACCAAATTACAAAATATTTGTTGTAAAGCTATTTAAAAGATACAAAATTAAGAATATCAATAATCTTTAGATATTCTAATTCTCCTACAGTAGTTTCCTGTATCTTTATTAATACTAAAGTTAACAAAAATCAGATTTTTGGATCCTTAAAAGATATATTAAAAGTTAAATGGAGAAGACATCAATGTACTTTAAAGTAAAACTAAATGCAAATTTATAGAGGTTTGAAATAAAGTCTGAAAGAGCTGATTTTTTTTTATAAGAGAGTATATTACCATATTTTTAAATAAATAATAGGCTCATTCTCTGTTCAAAGGGGACAATAAATGTTTATACTAAATACTAACTTAAGCAATTCTCCTAATAACCAACAGTAAGGAGGTTAATATCAACCTGCAAATACTTACTGTTCTGTTACGAAGAGACTGAAGACCTAGTTTATCTGTCATTTCGCTGATGGCCATGGCATTTGGCAAATCCTGTTTGTTTGCAAAAAGCAGCAGCACTGCATCTTTCAATTCGTCTTCCTGAAGCTGGAAATAAAAGCTAAGGCATTAACAACTACCAAACTGGAATCCAATTATTGCGATCACCTAAAACACGGTCTTCCTAAATGTACCCTTTATTCAACATTGAATAATTAAACACATTACTAAACATCAACCAAATTTCTCCAAATAAAGTTCAGGTACTCTTACAACTTAAATCTCATATCCATCGGTTTTTAAATCCAGAGCAAACAATCATATGCCTTCAAGTAAAGCAAAACTGTTTTTAAGCCAATCATCCCACCACTTTATTAAGGAAAACCACTCTAGCCTTCACAATTATCCATTGTTAGGACTAATAAAGGCAAGAAACACATATGGGAATAAAGTGTTTATGGCACGATCTTATGGTACTTAGTAGCAAAAGTACTCAGATGATTTTTCTGGACTTTTATCCTTTCTAGCCAGCTGGATCAGACAACAGTGGAACAACACAATTATTTGGGCATTAGCAGTATAATGAAAAATACAAAGAGTACCAAAAATAGAAGCTGGTGGGAGTAAGTACTGGTACATGATACAACATGGGTGAATCTTGAAAATTTGTGCTAAGTGAAAGAAGCTACTCATAAAAGACCACATACTGTATCATTTCATTTATATGAATGTCCAGAATAGGTGACTGTATAGAGACAGAAAGTAAATTAGTAGTTCTCAGGGGCTGGGAGTGTGGTGTAGGGGAGGGAGGGAATGGGGAGTGACTGCTAATGATTCTAGGATTTCTTTTTGGGGTGATGCAAATTTTCTAATAGTAGATTGTGATGATGGTTGTACAACTGTGTATACTAAAATTTATGTTATGTGAATTATATCTCAATAAAGCTGTTTTTTTTTTTTTTAAAAAGAGTGGATGTTGGTGACATTTGACTCATTAGGCAAAAAGCCACCAAGGAATTAGTTACACATATACTGGCACCATAGTTTTACAAACTGCACTCTAGTCTTAGGAGCAATAAATCAGAATTAAGATTTCATTTCAGCAAATATTTTATGGCTACAAGTCTGCCATAAACACAATCACAGCTGGCACAATCACAGCTCACTGCAGCCTCCAATTCCTAGGCTGAAGCAATCCTCCTGCCTCAGCCTCCTGAGTAGCTGGGGTTTTTCCAGGATATTTAACAATATGAATACATGAAAACATTAATCTGATATATGGCAAGGCTAAAATGGCATTGTCAACCAAATTGCTCCTGCTTCCAGAAGGAATCCTTTATCACGGCTGCTATCACAAAACATTTCAGAAGTAATTATAGGCACAGCATAGAGAAAATTGAAACTGATGACCTTGAGAACAAAGGATTTGAATCAGTATTTCTATGTCAAAACTGCTTCAAAACTATAGATTTCATATCTGTAAAATAAGGGACTGAACTAAATCAGATATCCTCAACCAGAGATATGCATCAAAATTACCTATGAAGCATTCTAAGAACAAGCTGCACCTTCCTCTCAACTTACTAAAGTAGCTACTCTTCCATGTGTTTTTAAGAAAGTGCTGCAAGAGATGTTGGTGTGCATTCTTAAGAACCAAAAGAATTCATTTGTGCAAGTACCAACCACTTAAACACTACCACTGTCACCTAGAAAAACACATCCTGAAAAGATGAATTTTAAGTATATTCTTACCATTTTCTGCAGCTCTTCTGCTCCTTCCTGAATTCTTTCACGATCATTGCTATCTACCACAAAAATAAGACCCTGGGGAAAAATTGTTTCAATACATTATAACAGTTAAAAGACACATTAAATATGAAACAAGTATAGGCAGCAAAATGGTATCAAGGGTTAGACGTTAGGAAGAAAATGTCTCCTTATTACAAAATAAAAACAAACAAGCAAAAAAAACTACCAAAACCCAAAATTCAGGGCTCTATACTGAAAACTGATTTGAGTACTATTTGTGATTTTAACTTATTAGTGTTAATTTCAAATCTAAAAAAATCTTACTCTTAACCAACTGATCACCTTTCTCACCTACCCTAAGAATAAATTTTATCCTTTCCCCCACTTCCCTCTGTACTCCCACATTTAAGTGCAAGTAAGTTACTAGCAGCAAATAGCTACAAAGTAGGAACAAAAGGAAAAAAAATAAATCAAAGATCCTAAAGAATCATGAATTAGCTTATTCACTCAAAGGCATGCACAAAGTATTAAAAAAGGAGGGGAGTAGAATGCAGGGAAATGATACAGTAGTTTTTATATGCTTCATCGTGGAAGGAAAAAGAAAAAAGTAGCCTTGCTCCAGAATGTTGCCTGCCTGATTCTAGAATCAGAAGAAGGAAGTCTTAAAATGTACCAAGAAAAACTCCAAGATTCACTTGATCGAGTAAGAAATCCTTAACAAAAAGGAAGGTAGTAACAATTCTTTTTTTTTTTTTTTATTTCAGCATATTATGGGGGTACAGATGTTTAGGTTACGAATGTTGCCCTTGACCCCCCCTCCCCCCCTAAGTCCGAGTTTCAAAACAATTCTTAAACATACTCACAAATATTAGAATCCTACACCACAAAAGAAACAAAATTAGGAAGCAATTAATAAAGACTTTCCTAAGAACTTTCAAGTGGGAAAGTATAAAATCATTAGCTAGAAGAGGGAGCAGATTAATTTTATAGCTTTGCTAAAAATCTATTCCTGTTATACTAAAGTGACTTTAAATATTCTTCTTCCCACAACCCTAGCCCCTGAAAAGTATTTTTGATCATTTGTCACTGCCTTATTAATTTATATAAGTAACTAGATTAAATCCAATGAGGGCAAAGGACTATCCTGCATCATTTTCTATTTATCCCTTAGCATTACCATAGTACTGGGCTCTGCAGCAACATCTAACACTTATATTGGGCTACTGTCATTAAATGACAATTTCTTTTGGTCTAGCAAATTTCAAGTCTATTTCCTTTATCTCTGTTGGAAACGTCCCATCCTTTGAAAAAACTTTTGGTGTTTTGGAAGCCAATATAGTGCGGTGGGAATACAGACCCAAATTCTCAGCACTACTTGTTACATATATTACCTAATCCTTGAACGTGCCTCTTCTGTAAAATAAAACCAATACCACTAACTTTATAAGCCTGTTAAAGATTAAATGTAAACATAGAGGTATAAAGGATCTATCTTTGTTCCTAGCTCACTGCAGACATTTAGCAAATCTATGTCTCCTTTACCTATTTCAAAAGCTACTCCTTTTAAGACCCTACCCTCTAGAAGAGGTAATGTCTCTAAAAGGGATCTAATTTTATTTGACTACAAACATTCCATTTTTATTCTGTTTTAAAATGTAAATAACACTATCAGTGCCAAAGTAACACCGAGAGGGAGAATTATTTTAGGAACAAATTCTAAGTTGTTCTCTTCCTGAAACAGCCTAGAACCAAAAGTGTACAGAAGCTAGAATTCTAAAGCTCAGCTGCTATAAAATTTCTTAAAAAGCTAAATAGTCTTAATTATTTATAAGAGCAAACTAATTATAATTATCTAATGAAGAGGAATTTTCTACACACTGTGCTCTGGATTGTTAATGCAAGTTAGAAACATGGTTACAGGTAAAATTAGCTTCTTTTACATTTTATAGCTAGAAGAACTGATCAGGAATGCTGGAAATGCAAGCTAAAAGCTTAGCTATGATTATATCAAGTAACACATAAAGCCTGCTCCCATAGGCATGAGCTTCCTAGGAAGTAGTACTTGGACTTTTAGTTCTAAGGTGGCCCAAAGAGGCCAGGAATGGGTCTAATCTCAAATTTAGAACTTGAAGCAAATTACAAAGCATTCTAAACATATCTAGGGATAAGACCAGGGTTACCCTTGGCAAAGAATTACAAGGCTTAAGAATTAGCAAGGTTTTATTTCATATCTAACTCTATTTCCAGAACATATTCCCTAAATGAAATGCCTAAGCACATTAGAGATGAATATCAAACATTGGCTATATCTTAATAACTAAAGTTGCATAATAGATATATGGGAGTTTATTATGCTATTGTCTCTACTTTTGTGTATCCAGGATTATCTCTAATCTGAAAATCCAAAATCCGAGATGCTCCAAAATACAAAGCCTCTGTACACCAACATTATGCTAATTAGAGCATTTCAGATTTCAGATTTTCAAATTTGGGCTCAACTGGGTAAGTATAACGCAAATATTCTAAAATCCAAAAAAAAAAAAAAAAAAAAAAAATCCAACATCCGAAACACTTCTAGTCCTAAGCATTTGTTTAAGGAATATTCAACCTAATTGTTGTCCATAATGAAGTTTTTTTTAAGCATGTATCTCCACATCAAATATCTTTTCTAGCCACATCTTTGTTAATAAACATAAACATTCTCATTTTTAAATAAAAAAGGCATACCACTTATTTAACATGACCTACTACTTAAACCTGGTTGTTCCAGCCAGGTTAGCTATGGTATAAGCTTTACCTAGGGTATTCACTGCAACCTCGTGGCAACATACCTCACTCGCATGCAATGTTTTAAGAGTTGGAGTACAAGGTGACATTGCTTATCATAAACATACGAAGTGCTTATAATATCACAATTTACTTAAAAAAACTTATCAATCAACTTAAACAGTAAAGAAAACAGATTAGAAATCCCTTGTGTAGTAGAAAAGACAACAGAGTTGGGACCAGATTAAACAGAAAGGGAAAACAAGAATATACTCTCCACTCTTGGATAAGTCATTCCAAGTTTCAATTTCCTCTTATATAAGAGGGTTAGACTAGAACAGTGCTTCTCAGCAGGGAGCAGTTCTGTCTCCTGGGGATATTTTGTAGGTGTGGAGACGTTTTTGGTTGTCACAAGTAGGCTGGGGGTGTTGCTAATGTCATCTACTATGTAGAGGACAAGGATGCTGCTAAACATCCTACATGGCAACAGACAGCCCTTCCCATCCCCAAGAAACAATGAACAATCTAGCCCAAATTATCAATAGTGCCACTGTTGTAAGATCCCAAACCAGCAGCTTCAACACCACCCAAATACATAATCTCAGGCCTTAGCCAAGTCCTGCTAAATCAATCTGTATTTTTAACAAATATGCAGGTGATTGTTATGCATATTAAAGTTTAAGAAACATTACTGGATACCTGGATTACATCCCCAAAGATTCTGATTCAAGTGGTCTAGGGCCATGATTAGGGCTTTAGGATTTTTAGAGATTCCCAGGTGATTCTAATGTGAAGCCAAACTTGAGAACTCCTGCTCTACAGGATTACTAAGGTCTTTCCCATGTCAGTATTATATATACACTACATAGCAATATTAAAATATCTTACAAATCAACATAGCAGATTAATGTATTTTCAATAAAGTAAACACCTAATTGGGCTAAATGAAGGAATATCAATTGTCTTAATACAATCATTTGAAACTACAATGTCAGAAAGTTTGACCTTACTTTCTACACTAAGAATGAAACCAAAAGAACTATCAATGAGACACCTAATTTATTATTTTTTAAATCTGAAACAGGGTCTCGCTCTGTCCCCCCAGCTAGACTGACGTAGTGTCATCATGGCTTACTGCAACCTCAAAACTCCTGGCTTCAAGCAATCCTCCTACCTCAGTCTCCCAAGTAGCTGGGACTACAGGCACTCGCCACCATGCTCGGCTAATTTTTCCATTCTTTTATAGTGACAGGGTCTCAGTCTTGCTCAGGATGGTCTCAAACTCCTGACCTCAAACAATCCTCCAGCCTCAGCCTCCCAAAGTGCTAGGATTACAGGCATGAGCCACCATGCCCGGCCGCAAATTCATTCTTGAAAATTATGCTGGCACCCATCCCACCCCAAAATCTTACTGTGATGGCTACATAACTCCTCCACCCTAGGTAATTTAGCCTGAGACAAGAGTGAGAGTCCACTGAATACAGAAGTAGAGATAAGAGGAATGCCAACTCACATAGTAAACACCAACATCCAGGCAAACATTAGATATTAATGTAAACTTCAGAGCATGAAATCCATAAAGAAAAGTTTTAAGAACACATAGTATTCCTTACCTGGGTATTCTGGAAGTAATGCCTCCAGAGAGGCCTAATTTTATCTTGACCACCAACATCCCATACTGTGAAACAAATGTTCTTATATTCTACTGTTTCCACATTAAAACCTACAAAGGAAAACAAAAATGACTGCTGTGCAAAATAAAGCATCATTAAGAAAATAAATTTCTTTATTGTGAAATTCTTAGAATAGTTTAAAAGTCCCATTAAGATAATCAACAAGCTTAACAAAAAGTTTCAAAATTAGACTGTATTACATTTCACTTTACAATATATCACTGTGATATTTATAAATTAAAGTCATCTATAAACTTTCTTACCAATGGTAGGAATGGTGGTAACTATCTCCCCCAACTTCAGTTTATACAGAATTGTTGTCTTGCCAGCAGCATCCAATCCAACTAGAAGGCAACATTATAGATTTAAAATATAGACCCAAAGCACACACCAAGAAATAATTGTACAATAAATTTAGAGTTTGAAAGTAAAAGTTGACTGCTCAAGGCACAAATATTGAGTTAGAAATGAAATTATCTTATTTCCGATTCCCAGACAAAGGCAACACTTCCTACAGAAGTCCTTTTCATTTTTCTTTCTAGACCCAGACAGACACATGTAGTAGTGAAAAGAAGAGAGTATGTTACTGACTCAGGCTCTAAGCTCTAGCTTTGCCATGAACTAGTTAAATGTCTTTAAACAGGTCACATTAGGACACTGAGGCCAGAGAAATTAGCCATAAAACAAAGGGATTGGATCGGATAATCTAAGATCTCTTCCAATTTAAATCTTATTAATTCTTCTATGAACTATCACCATTTTGTTGTTTGTTGTTTAGCTGTCGAGGCTAGAGTGCAGTGGCATGATTATAGCTCACTGCAATCTCAAACTCCTGGGATCAATTGATCCTCGTTCTATTCCCAGTTCTTCCTGGAGTTGGGAAAAGCTGGGTTGAGAGGGTGGGGGATGGGGGTGGGAGTGATCTTCCTGCCTCAGCCTCCTGAGTAGCTGGGACTTCAGGCGCCCACCCCAACACCCAGCTAACTTTTTTCTATTTTAAGTAGAGATGAGGTCTCATTATGTTGCTCAGGCTGGTCTCAAACTCCTGGCCTCAAGCTATCCTGCCACCTCAACCTCCAAAAGTGCTAGGATAACAGGCATGAGCCATTGCCCTGGCCCACCACCATTTTTAAAAACATAAATTAGAAGTTGAATCAGAACATATGAGAACAAGTGAATAAAGGATTACCTTAAGATTTGTAAACTTAATTTTCCTTTTATTTACAGAGTAAATTTTAGGTAAAAGATCTTGATGCTACAGGGAAAAAATACACCTGTATAACTATGTCCTAGTCCCCTTATAATAAAAGCAAATTAACTGATTGTAAGTATGAATCTCTCAAAATCTGTACATTCCACATTGTTTGCTAAAGCCCTCATAAATAAAAGATCAATATCTAATAACCACATTAAATATATCATTGTTCTAAGTACATCACATTTGGCCACCTGGATTTATCTTATCGCAGATTTTTAAAATCAATTCAGTGGAATGTTGATTTAGGCAAGGACATTTTAATATTTAAACCAAAGCATGAGTTCACACATGAAAGCAATACTAATACGTTAAAAAGAAATGAAATCATATCACTCATCTAATTTACATTCCTATGCAAATAAGTTCAACTTTAATCAGTTAGTCCAAAACAGAACTGAGAGCTATGGGCAATACTTTCTATCCTATAACAACCCTTTCTACTTTGTACCCAACTAAGGGTACCTTTAAGGTCTCTCCAGAGACTGAAGCCTTTTACGCCTTCCTATTCGTGTGTGTCCTGTAATCAAAACCTGTTACCTACTTCTTCGTTCAGGGGTGCAAGTTTATTCTTTCCAAAATACTAGTCAGAGTGATCAGTCCACCCCAGCCCTCAATCATGAGCATAAGAAAAACCAGCTGTTACACAAGTGTTTTATTTTTTCAGTATAGAAGAGTATCAAAAAGATCAGAAAACATAATTCTAAAAACACACAAACAAAAGTAGCTACCTTGAAGTTTGGCATCTTCAGTAAAAATACAGAAAACAAAGGGAGGGTGGCAAAACACAACCAGATCTTTAAATTGTTCTACAAAGCTAAGTCTCTCAAGAGCATATGACCTCTTTTGGTGATTCTGATTTTTTTTTTTTTTGAGACAGAGTCTCACTGTGTTGCCCGGGCTAGAGTTCCGTGGCGTCATCCTAGCTCACAGCAACCTCAAACTCCTGGGCTCAAGCAATCCTTCTGCCTCAGCCTCCCGAGTAGCTGGGACTACAGGCATGCGCCACCATGCTCGGCTAATTTTTTCTATATATTTTTAGTTGTCCGATTAATTTCTTTCTATTTTAGTAGAGACGGGGTCTCGCTCTTGCTCAGGCTGGTCTCGAACTCCTGAGCTCAAACAATCTGCCCGCCTCGGCCTCACAGAGAGCTAGGATTACAGGCATGAGCCACCGCGCCCGGCCTCTGATTAGATTTTTAAGTAAACCAAAATTCACCTTTAACTACATCCAAATACGATTAAGCCAAGTCAGAACTGCAACTGAGATGTTGCCTAGAAATAATAAAAACAAAAATTTGAGTCAAATTTTGAAGACTATGGCACCTGCCAGTCCTCATTGGAGATCCAATCGGACCTTTTACCACCCTTTAAAAACAATGAAAATCCAAAAATACGGACAAAGAATGGAAGAAATTCAAGACAACTCATGATTACGTAATTATTTTAAGTTACAGAAAAGCACGTAGATAATCCAAATTTCTTTTAACAAGTTTTATGCCTGTTTGTATGCATATTTAATAGTGTCTTCTACTTCTGTCAAAATTTTTTTTACCCAACATGTATTACTTTCATTAAAAAAAGGAAGAATGCATCCGTAAGCATCCACAATTATTTTTTAAACAAAAATTACAAGACAATAGTTTAGTGGCTTACAGTCACATAGAAAGTATCTTTTGCAGTTGTATCCAAAATAATAATACTGTATAAATGTAAGCCAAGAGTTTTTTTTTAAAAGTTATTTCTACTGTGACCTTTAAAATGCACAAATTATATGTATACCATCATCACTTAAAACTTTTTATATAGCTTTTTTCACTCAAAAACATGTTGGTCTAACAATTTTGTGCCATTTTAGTCATTTCTTAAGTATGTATTTTCTTAATGTTACAATATTTGGCAATGAGATTTTTCCACAAAATGAAACTAACCAATTCTCAACTAACCATGATAAGACTAATCTGCATGGCCCAGAAATGTTCCCCCTCCCTTCCACCTCCATAAACAAGTCACTGTATTGAAAGATATACAAGAATTGCTTGTCCTCCTTAACTAAACCAAGCACTTTGACTAAAGTGTTAATATAGCAGCAAAACTATCTCAAAAAATCTTTGCCAGTCTTATTAAAAAGTATGTCTATCAAATTATGGCAGCAAGAAATACTTATATTTTAACTTAAAGAGTTAGATCCAATTGCCTCAACTTTGAGGAAAAAAATGCAGAAAGGAAAAAGACTAGGAAGAAAAAAGTATATTTTCAGATGGATAAAATTTTTCTTCATGTTTTCCTTTATCTATCAAATTTTCTACAAGCTTGAAATGCATCTTCATAATACTTTTTTCTTTTTTTAAGCTTCTCTTTTCTTTGAATAATAATTAAAAAATATTTTTTCTTGCCCTTCCGCCATGTGATAAAATTTAAAACTGTGTGCTTATTGTATTCCAAGCACAATACTAGCTGATTCCACACATCTTTGTAATTTAATCCCCAAAATAACCTTCCATTTTTCAGATGAACCATCTAGTGTTCAGAAAATGTCCCCAGAATCACAAAAGTAGAGTAACAGATATTAAAAAACCTAGGTCTTGTGGAGAAATTAGAACTCTCATACACAGATAGTAGGAATGAAAAATGGTGAAGCTGCTTTGCAAAAGTTATGTCAGTTCCTCAAAATGTTACCTTTTTCCCACAAAATGTTAAACACAGTTACTATGACACAATTCCACTCCTAGGTATTTACCCAAGAATTAAAAAGATATGCCCACACGAAAACTTGTTCATGAATGTTCACAGCAGCATTATTCATTAGAACCAAAAAGTAGAGACAACCAAATGTCTATAAACTAATGAACGGATAATCAAAATGTGGTTTATCCATACAATGGAATTACTATTTGGCCATCAAAAGCAATAAAGTACTGATATGTGCTATAATATGAATAAACTTTGAAAACATCATGCCAAGTGAAAAAAGCAGACACAAAAGGCCACATATTATATGATTCCATTACATGAAATATCCCGAATAGACAAACCCATAGAAACAGAAAGTAGATTAGTATTAATAGGTGCTAGAGGATGGGGAGCAGGAGGAATGGGAGTGATTGCTGATGGGTATAAGGTTTCTTTTTGGGATGATGAAAATATTCTGGAATTAAACAATGGTGATTACACAGCTATGAATATAAAAACCAATGAATGTTCACTTTAAAGGGGTAAACTTGGCTGGGTGTGGTGGCTCAGGCCTGCAATCCTAGCACTTTGGGAGGCCGAGATGGGAATCTGAGACCAGCCTGGGCAACATAGCAGGACCCCATCTCTTTAAAAAAAAAAAAAAAAAGGAAATTAGCCAGGCGTGGTGACACCGTGCCTGTAGTCCCAGCTACTCGGGAGGCTGAGGCAGGAGGATCACTTGAGCCCAAGAGTTTGAGGCTGCAGTGAGCTGTGATGATGCCACTGCACTGAGCCTAGGCAACCGAGTGAGACACTGCCTCAAAAAAAGGGGGGGGGGGCTGACGGGGGTAAACTTCATGGTATATGAATTACATATCAATTCTGTAAAAAACGAAAACAAAGCAGAACAAAAAAAAACCCAGTTCTGATGCCAGAGATCTCTAACAGTATTTATATACAGTCATCCATCCTGCCTTTAGGTATTTCTGGTGGACACAGTGTATCTTAATATTTTATCTATCTAATTCCTCAGAGACTTGACCATCCAAACGGAAACAGAAACTGAAACTATCAGGTATGTGGGAAAATTATAATGAGCTTCGGTTTTGCTTCTAACCAACAGATCAGGAAGGAACATCTGCACTTTTATCAATGAGTTTATTAGCACCAAATTATCAAAGTCTCCACAGCGATATTTTGTAATATAATGCGAAAAGGTACATACATCTAAGGATGGCTGCATCTATCAACTTCCAGTGGCACAAAACTAAAGATTTTTGCCTTTTCAGTTGTTCCCTATATTCACATAACTAATCAGAAGACCATTTTTTTTAAAAAAGGCTGGCAATTATGTCTTCAACAAAAGAAATGCTTGTAATATGCTAAGTCAAAAAGAAAGAACACATGAAATACCACTCTTTAGCTTGAAGCCTCACTTAAAATACTGGCAATATTTTTTAAATTGGCAAATACAGGATCTTTTCTCCTGAACCTCCCTGATTCCCAAAAACCACAGTTACCAACAAGGCAATACAGAACTACACTGTTGCTAGGAAACTTGTAGAAAACAACACTTTTTCAGCTTTTCAACAGGCAAGAACTCAAAAATTCAAAGTAAAGAGATTAGAGAAATTCTTGTGTATAACACTTTTGGATATAAACATAATTTAGGGATTCATTTACCAAATTACATCTTATCACGGATCAAAGTATAGACACTAGACTTAGAATAATGCAGAAGCCACTGCTTTCTAACTCAGGCAATATCATTCACATGAATAATTTTGCCTTATAAATATACTACATAATTCCTGTCAATCAACAGTTCAAATGACATTAAATTTCACACACTGTATTGGCTTTTTATTACAGTTAACTATGAATTAACTTTCAAACACCTTTTAAAATTACTTGAACTTTTACTTTTGGGAGAGCAGCTATTGTAGGAATGGAATTTAAAACTTCTCTAGAGAAGCTTGGCAAACCAGACACATTAGCTGCTATCTCTTAATACACTTTAAAATGTAAAGTCTAAAAAAGCCGCTGACTCAAGAAGGCATGAATTTTATCCAAGCATTATCAAAGAAAAAGAAGCACACTAATGTAATATGAAAAAACATTAACTGATAATTGTAATAGTTGAATGGGGCAGACACTTTAAAAGTGATTATTTATACAATTACTCATAAAGGCAGACAGAAAAATTTAAGAATTATCAAACTTCCAAATCACCCTTTTTCCTGTTCATGCACGTATTCCCCTCATCTGTTGCTACTTTCTTTGATGAGCTACCATAAAAGGTGAGTTTGACTGAAGTGTTTTTAATCCAGGAAAATTGATTATCCCAAAATTAAAATACAGGGCCGGGCGCGGTGGCTCACGCCTGTAATCCTAGCACTCTGGGAGGCCGAGGCGGGCGGATTGTTTGAACTCAGGAGTTCGAAACCAGCCTGAGCAAGAGCGAGACCCGGTCTCTACTAAAAATACAAAGAAATTAATTGGACAACTGAAAGTATATAGAAAAATTTAGTCAGGCATGGTGGCGCAAGCCTGTAGTCCCAGCTACTCGGGAGGCTGAGGCAGAAGGATCGCTTGAGCCCAGGCGTCTGAGGTTGCTGTGAGCTAGGCTGACGCCATGGCACTCTAGCCCGGCCAACATAGTGAGACTCTGTCTCAAAAAAAAAAAAAAAAAAAAATTAAAGTACAAAACAAGAATAGCAGACCCAAATAATAAAAAATTTGAAATAAAATGAATGACTCTCATGACTTCATGACTTCAATCCCCTGCACAAATGCAGAAAGTTAAATCCTTTTCCTCTTCCATTTTCTTCCAATCATTATCTGGGGGGAGGGAAACGCCTCCCTAATATAGTAAACATAGGAAAAGTGTTTCCAGCATAATTCTACCTTTCTTTCCCCGACCCCAACACTTTTTTTTTTTTTTTTTTGAAAAGAGACAGGGTCTGGTCCTACCGCCCAGGATGGAATGCAGAGGCACAATCATAGCTCACTGTAACCTCAAACTCCTTGGCTCAAGCAATCCACATGCCTCAGCCTCCTGAGTAGCTGGGACTACATGCATGCGCCACTATATCCAGCTTTTTTAGTTTACTATAGAGATGGGGTCTTGCTACGTTGCCCAGGCTGGTCTCGAACTCCCTCAGCCACTCAAAGTGCTAGGATTACAAGCCACCTCACCAGGCCTCCCACACACACCAAAGACTAAGAAAACGAAAAACAGCAATTCATTTACAATAAATCATAAGTAAAAAGACCAATGCACTACATTTTCTGGAACACAACCATATATACTGGTTAATCTCTTTAAGGAACAGGCTGGAAATTCATTTACCACAAAGTCCTCCCGTTGACTTCCAATGTTTTTAGACTAAAAATTTTCAGCCACTTAGAGTTTAAATAATATGCTTGCCTTCCTAAAATAATTCTCTGTCCTCTTCACAAAGAAAATCTGAGATACTTTGAAAGAGAAAAACACTGATTTACCTTTATGAATGAATCATGAACAATTACTTTATAAATTTTAAGAAGGCTGAATTAACAGGAAAGTAAAACAAGAACCAAATATGTATACTCTCATTCTTTATATATCTTCAAGTAGTACAGAAGCTTGTTTTTGAAAACTTTTCAATGGTAGTAGAACTCAAAAATAACACCCCTCCCAAAACACTAATGAACCAACAAGTTTCAATGTTCAAAGTTAGAGCAGCTCCTTTTAGTATTATTCAAGTCGACAGAGCTCCACTGTGATGTAGAGACAACTCACAGTACTAATGGGAGGGGTTGCTTACATCACCTGAGTGACAGCCCTTCTCCCTCAGCTGAGCAAAAAACGGACCAGGAAAAGCAGTTTTTCAAAAGCCCATTTTCTAAAAAAGAAAGAAAATTTCAAAAAAACAATTTTGTAGTCACTATTTAACAAACCTACCCTAAAATTAAGCGTCATGATGTTTAGTTCACTTACTAAAAACTTAGGTTAAAAAAAAATTGTTTTCTAAAAGTTTTTTGCATTAAACATTGAGCAAGCTAGATAAAAATTAGTTTGAAAACCAAAGAGAATAAACCAAATATATTTAAAATTCTTGAAAGCAGCCAAAAGAAACAGACAAGATAAACTTAATTTTCGGAGAATGAGCTTATTAATAAGAAGAACGGAAAAAATGCAGCCGAACCCAGTGACAGGCAAAGTTTAGCAAATTGAGCGTGAGGACTCCAGACTCCTCGGAAACCTTGCTCCCTAGCCACGGCACAGGGCCTGGTCACTTCCTGCCCCTGGGCGGCTCCGGGCTCTCGGCGGCCACTCGCTCACATACCAATGGAGTGTGTATATGAAGTGGAAAGCGGGAGGCGAAAAGCTGGAGTCGCTGTCCCTCCCTCCCAACCGCTGCGCACACCCTGGGAAGAGGGGATGCAGATCCCACCCTCAGAATAGGCCTCTCCACTGTTCACTTCTGACTTCGCTTCCCCCATAACTCCGCCCAATCTTGTCCAGCTTTCAATAAGATCCAGGAAAGAAAGCGAAGCCCAGAAAGAGGAAACCTTGCCTGAGGCCCCTGTCCCTGCCTCATCGGCGACAGATACCGGGCGATGGTTCACTCTTCGCTCCATTGTTTCCCCTTAAAGAGTCCTCTTGACCCACAACCGGCCGCCCCTCCCCCACCACGGCCCGCGGAGGAAAGAACAGGCCCGGAGACCGTCCCAATCAGAGAGACCTGGCCTTTCCCGGATCTCCACTGGGGCCTCTCACTCACCCATCAAAATGCGCATCTGCTTCTTGCCAAAGAGGCGGGAGAAGAGAGAGGAGATGGTGAGGCCCATGGCGGTAGTGGCACTTGCGATGGGCAGAAGGGGTTTGGGGCGTCCCCAGGCCTTCTCTCTTCACGCTCCCGGCAAACTGAAGTAGAAGAAAAAGAAAGAGCTGAGAAAGAAAGAAAGGGCAGCGGGGACGTCTCGCTGGCCGGTGTGTCGGATAAAGCTCCGGGACAGGAATTAGCGGGACGAGGACCTACTGGGCGACTGGCTCGGCAGCTCCGGGTTTGGCCTTAAGGTTCCTGCTGTGCCACGTCACGCGACAGCCGCGGCGACTCCGGCAGCGGCCCGGCCCCTCCAACGCGGACAGAATCGCGTCACCGCCTCCCCATCCCCCTGTGCTTCCGGTGCTGCCTGAGCCACAGCGCTTGCGCACGCAGGGGATTGGCCAGTTTTGCTGACGTGTTTCTCTCGTCGCCACCACCTCCGGGCGTTAGCACATGCGTACTGGGAGACCGACAGAGTCCCACAATGCCTCGCTTCGTCACTTCCAATTAGACTCCAAGCGAGACGCTTCCGCCCGGATGAATTCCTCCTAGGGGCTGTAGTCCTTGCTTCCGGGAAGTCGAGCTGTGCATTATGGGTTAGGGCGGTGAACCTCGTCCACGTCTTTAACGCTGCGCGCGTTGGGGATTCCCTGGTCCCGTGAACGTACCCCTTTTCACGCACGGGACCGGACGTTTGCCGTAGTACAGAGGTGAAGACCCGCCCTGCCCCTTTGTGGACAAAGGTGGTTAAAAGGAGACGAGTGGTCGGAGAAATTGTGGCAGCCTATTAAGGAGCTAGACCTAAGACACTTAGACCCCTACGCCAGATCAAGCTGAAGATCCCTAATAATGTGTGAAGACAGGAGAGCTATAAGACACTTTCACCGGCTATTGCTTTGTGAATAGGAGTCAACGAGGTAATCTTGCTTTTCTTGCACTTTTTCTCCCCTAGAAGAAGCTTGAAAGATATATGCCTTACGTTAAGGAAGTGGAAAGCCTCCTCACTTTAAAAATATTTATGATCTTGCTTTACTGTTTACAAAATAAGGTATTTAAAAAAAAAGTATCGAAAAACATGTCCCTCATAATTTTCACCACCTTCCACATATTTCTTCTGCCACACTGTTGCTGTAGTTTAGGATTAGTAGCTACCGCAAACCTCACTCTTACTCTAGTTAAACCATGTTCACCCACCTCTCAGATGCCTTGGAAAATACTTTCTCGACCTGATGACTAAATAAATCTCCCTATACTTAGCCTCAAAGCATCATAACCTCCCTTCGCAGTTACAATTTCACATTTAAGGTTACTATATTTGACAACCCGCGTCCCTTTCCAGATTTGTCTGAAAACACTAGGAAAGCAGAAAACTAGTTCGTTTTTATATTCCATTGTATTCCTTGAACTTGGCACGCAGCAAAACTCAATAAATACGGTTGAGTGATAGGGGGATGATTGAATAAACTATGGTATATCCATACTATGGAATACTATAAGGAGTTAGAATGATATGGAACTATATATTATAAAGAAAAGTGGAAAATCGCCAAGTAGTACTTACTGTAAAGTAATGTAAAAATACAGATTACTGGCTGGGCGGGGTGGTTCTCGCCTGTAATCCTAGCACTCTGAGAGGCCCAGGCGGGAGGATTGCTTGAGCTCAGGAGTTCCAGACCAGCCTGAGCAAGAGTGAGACCCCGTCTCTACTAAAAATAGAAAAATCAGCCCAGCGTGGTGGTGTGCGCCTGTAGTCCCAGCTGCCTAGGAGGCTCAGGCAGGAGGATACCTTGAGCCCAGGAGTTGAAGGTTGCAGTGAGCTAGCATGATGCCACTGCACTCTAGGCGGGGCAACAAAGTGAGACTCTTAAAAAAAAAAAAAAAGTATATATTATATGGGGGGGATATTACCCCTGGGTGTGTGTGTGTGTGTAAGTGCAGAACAAGAACTTGAAGGAGGCCGGGCCCAGCCCAGCACTTTGGGAGGCTGGGGCGGGAGAATCACCTGAGTTCAGGAGTTTGAGACCAGACTGGGCAAAATAGTCAGATGCCCCCACCTGCTACCCTCGACCCCCACCACAGGTCTCCATAAAAAATAACTTTAAAATTAGCTAGGTGTGGTGTCCAAGTGCCTGCAGTACCTACCAGCTACTCAGGAGGCTGAGATGGGACCATGGCTTGAGACTGGGTGTCCAAGGCTGCAGTGAGCTATGCTCCTGCCACTGCCCTCCCTCCCCTCCCTGGACAACAGAATGAGACACCTCTCAAAAAAAAAAAAAAATTAAGTAGACTTCACTTGCAGTAATGGTAGTTTGGTAGTTGGTGGAGGGAAAAGGTAGCCTTCCCAGGGAGTGAGGGAACCTAGTTTTGGAGTGGTAGTCTAAGGAGAGCTTGTCTGTACTTTTTAAAGTCCACTTTATTGAGATATAATTTATGGCAATAAAATTCACCAATTTTAAAGCATACAATTTCATGAATTTTAACAAATGTATACAGTAGTGTAACTACCATCATAATCATGATGACAAACATTCCTATTAACCCAAAAAGTTCCCTCATGCTCCTTTGTGGTCATCTTCTCCCCTCACCTCCAGCCCATGGCCACTCATTGATCTCCCGTCACTATAGTTTTGCCTTTTCCAAAATTTCATACACATAAAATCATACAGCATGTCTGGCTTCTTTCTCCTAGCATAATAATCTTGAGATTTATCCATGTTATTGAGGGTATCTGAAATTCTTTATTAACAAGTACTATTAATATTCCATTATATACAATTTGTTTATCCATTCACCAATTGATGGACTTTGGGTTATTTAAAGTTTTGGGCTATTATGAATAAAGCTGCTATGAACATTTGAGTGTGTGTTTTTGTATCTATTAATTTTATAAGATGAATTTATTCATGCATTACCGTACTTGTGTAATTTAAAAATCATCTTCAAATTTGACGAATGAATTAACCACTGTTAGTCTGACATATGTTTTTCCAGATTTTCCTCTCTGAAATACTACTGTCCATATAAATATTAATGGGATTTTATACTGGTAAGCAATTCCTTTTTCAATTTAATATATTGTGGACATTTAGAAATATCAGTATTTAAAGGTTTAACTCATTCTTTTTACCAGCTGAATTCCATTGTATTCATGTAAAATAACTTATTTAACTGATTTATCAAATTGTTAAATGTGCATGCTCTTTGATCCAAAAATTCTACTTCTAAGAAGTTATGGTAAGGAAAATTTCCCTCAAGTTTGGTAGGCTGTACTTCTAACATGTTCAGTGTTCATTATAGCATTATTTGTAACAGAAAACTGGAAACAATTTTTTAAAAAATGAAATATTTAAATCTTGTTTCTTTCTTTTGCTATCCACTTGCCCAAAATACTCCAATTTTGCTTTTGCTTTGCTAAAATTGTTTAAATTCACAACAATGATAAATTAATTAGACACATTGCCAGGATAAAGATTTAGTCCATTTTCCTAAAAGTGCTGTCCTATTCAGTTCTGTAGTTGTTTATTTCAGCTGGTGCATTTCTACAGAATGGGGTGAATAAGAAAAACCTGCAAACTTTCAAGGAGTGTAAGCTGTTTTGTATAGTTAAAGGCTTGCTGAGTAAATCTCCCTTTGGTAGAACTACCCTTCAGAGACTGTCCTTTCTTAGGAGTGGCCCTAGGCAATCAAAAGCAAAAACTTCTTTACTCAGGTAGATCTATGAGGTGAAGTCATTGTAGTAGTAAAGCCAACAATGGGTTTACTCTTTCTTTTTTTTTCAATTACCAAATATTCCAGGAATAACATTTTTATTCTTAAGGTGAAATTAAATTTAAGTGCAATTAAATATACAACATTTAAAGAACACCAGGGAAATGCAAAAGGAAAACAAAATTGGTTCTCTGCACTCAGATTTTCAAACTCTTTAAGCACTCTAATATAAACGTGTATTATTTCTGGTGTGAAACAATACACTTTAATTTTTTAATAACTTTGAGTCCATGCAATTACCTGAGAGAACCACACATTTACTAGAATTTAATTTAAATAGAATTTAAGACTATATCTACCTTGAGAAGAACAGAAGTACCCTCCTTTGCATTGGAGATACCTGTAGAGTTGCTTAACAGTTGTGTAACTTAAAACTGCATTTTGGAAGCTTGCTAGACAAAAGACGTTCTTGTATCCTTTCAGTAGCCTTTATGTCAGTTTTGAGGGTTCCCCCCGCCTTTTCAGGGATATTGTGTTGAGAACAGTTTCGAGTTTCATATAGTAGAATTTCTTAAAATAATGTTCACCTGATTCTGAGGGTCTTCTCAAATTGACTTCCTAAATTTCTCAAGACAAATTATATGGACCCCCTCCAAAGCCCTGAAGACTGGAGTTACTGCTTCCTTCTGCCTGAGGTCCCAGCACCCTGCAAACTGAGTCCAGATCTGATTCATCAAGATGAGCCCCCAAGGTCCACCCAGACTCTTGGAACTGGCAGGGTGGAGCCTGGTGATTTAAAATTTATTTTAAAAATTTTTTAAAAAAGAAAGAAAAACAAATTATATGGACCCTCCTCCCTATAACTTCTTCCAAATCTTAATCCATGTTTTCTGTTAAGTTACTTAGGCAAAATAAATGGAAAGAATTCTGTTCTCTGGCCTCTAAACCCTAAACCAAAAAAAGAAAAAACTGAAGATGTCAAAATAGATTTTTCAGATTTCCACTTAAGATCATGCATGCTAAGAATGGTTCAACATATGCAAATCAATAAATGTGATTCACCACATAAACTGAAGCAAAAACAAAGACCATATGATTATCTCAATTGATGGAGAAAAAGCATTTGATAAAATCCAGCAGCACCTTTTCTTGATAAAAACCCTCAACAAACTAGGCATAGAAGGAACACATATCAAAATTATAAAAGTTGTATAGGACAAACCCACAGCCAGCATCATATTGAATAGGGAAAAGTTGAAGGCATTCACCCTAAGAAGTGGAACAAGACAAGGATGCCCACTGTCACCACTTCTATTCAACATAGTATTGGAAGTCCTAGCCAGAGCAGTCAGGAAAGAGAAAGAAAGAGCATCCAAATCGGGAAAGAGGAGGCCAAACTATCCTTGTTTGTGATGATATAGTCCTGTATCTAGAAAACCCTAAAGACTCCACCAAAAGATGCCTAGAGTTGATAAACAAATTCAGCAAAGTCTCAGGTTATAAAATCAATGTACAGAAATCAGTAGCATTTCTATATACTAATAACAGTCAAGCTGAGAGTCAAATCAAGGACTCAATATCATTTACAACAGCTACAAAGAAAATAAAA